ACTTGCTGGCTTGCTGTATGTCTTGTGTAAGTATTCTATGAACCGGCCATCTCTACCTTCAGTATGCTTCATTATCTATCATTATGATTCTTCCCCTTGTGGCTAATGTGGCTAACGACAATGCTACTTCTATTTGTTTGGTTTTGTTTTGTGTTGTTTTTATTCCGACACTACTAACGACACATTTAAATATGTATGTATTGCAACTGCTCTACTTTAAAATAGTTTTGTTTTTGTTTTTGTTCTTCTTACGCCAAAACGTCACTGTTCACGCACACCCTGCCAATAGGCTGTCCCAAAAAAGTATGCTCCACTCGTCGCTCATTTCATAAACTATCTGCTAATGTTCTTACCTAAGTTCATATTGTATTTTGATGTCTACGCATTTGCTTTTAATTGCTTTTACTTTTACTTTTACTCTGAGGTTTTAAGCTAATGTTCATGTAGGTATGTGTTCGTTTTGTATATCATATAGAGTTTGCTTTTTGGGCTTGATGCGTTTTTTAGTTGATGGTTTTGAAAAAATCGAGGTACACAATAAAAATAGTTTCTTTTTGCTTTGTTGTTTTCTTTTCGTAGGTAAGTAATTTCTTAACGTTCCTTTCAAAAATAAAAACCCTTTCGATAGAGGATCTAATAAGATAGAAACTACTAACATGCTACTATATATAACACACAAATGTTTTCGTATTTGTAAGATTTTAGAGCTCTGCAAAGTTTATAATAGGGACAAGGTTTTGCAGCTTTTATTTTTACTGGGCTACAAAAATATAATATAGGAGGTGATCCAAAATAATGTAAACCTAATAGGAACCCTTGTGGTAATACTCGAAATTTAAACTTTGGACCAGAATTATTGTGACATAATCGAGACTCGAAACTGTAGAAAATAGCTATAGATAAAGAAAAAATTCTAATCAATTAATCAACCAGTTCTTATTCCGTTACATCTTCTGCACGCCTGTTGTGCTTTGAATTGTGTGATATAGTAGCCCTGTCTGCAGGACCTCTCCAAAATCGAGGCCGGACTTGTTGATGGTACGAACAATGTCTATATCCCAGGAATTCCCTGTTTGCATGTGTGCATGGGCTTGGAGCTCTCCTTTTCAATATTGTTTAGGGTTAGTTACATATTTTGTTGTATTTACATAATTTTTTAGACTTTATGACTTTTTGTCGTAACTATAGTTATAGCAAGTACATTTTCCAAAACCGTTTTTGTTTGCTTTTATGTTGTGTGAATACGTTTTGTAGCCGTGTTGTAAGTTGAGGTTGAACTTGTTGTTGCTGCTGCTGCTGTTAATTAACTAATTTTGAATTGGTTATCAACAATTTTGTAGCTTCCTGTGCCTTTGGGCCTTGCTCTGAGCAGAACGCAGTAACTATAGTACCCATGTTGTTTTGCGAGGTTTGGACGAGACCAAACTTTAATTAACGTGCCAAACAAATAGTTGCACCCTGTGACTAAAAACTTTTTGGGCTTTGCCAATTAGTCAGTTGACCTGGTAACTTATCTTTCGTTTTTCTGGGTTAAAGCGGCGGCACTCGTTTGGAAGTGTCCAGAATTGGACTAGATGGGCCCATGCCCATTTAAATGTTGCACGTCAAGAGCTCGCAGAAAAAAAGTAAAAACCTCAAATACGATGGCGGCCCATGTTTAACGCCCTCTCAACAGACTACACAAAAGTTTTCCATTTTGAACAGCGCAAAAACATGTACATGTGTGTGTGTGTGTGTTGGTGTGTGTTGGTGTGTGTGTGTAGAGGAGATTGTGTGTAGTAGATAAACTTTTAATAGTTTGCGCACTTCACTCTTGTTTCGCATTTTTGTTTACTGTTATTTTGATTGCTTTAACTTTGCATGTGCATTTTGTTTGCTGCAACTTGTCACTAATCATATTACAGAATGCCATATAGTATTTATCCTAAAAATATATATGATTTGTATTGTATATATATAAATGCTATTTATATGTAGCACGACCTTTGCTGCCTATTTTCTTATGTTACTGTCTTGCTTTTGGTAAAAAATTTTTACTTTAGTTGTAGTTTTTCTTTTGTATTACATTGTTTTTTTTTTGCTTTATGCTTCGCTTTATTTTCTATTGTATAAATACTCACATTCACATTTACAACTACGAACCACGTAACTACTTATAGATGTAAGTATGTATATCTATATATATACTATATATAGGCTTTATAGTTAGTATGGGTGTATGCATGTATATGTATATATGTATGTATGTGGTATATTTTAACTACTTCGAGCAGAGCTTGGCGACCTTACTGTACATACTGGCTATAAGAGGTCTTAGTGCTTAGTGCTCTTGGTGATTTCCGGTAGCACAGCCCCCTTTCACATGACCTACCAATATATATATTTATATATAATCACACACCCTGTATACTGCATAGCTCACGCTCCATTTTCTTAAAAGTTTGCTAGCAATTCCGAGTCCGTTTCTTAATTATTTATATACTATACTATATGAGTATAAGGAATTACTAAAAACAAGAGGGGAGGAGTCCGACAAAAGGTTTTAGTAGATGCCGTCGAGCTAAAGAGAATAATCACATGAAACCAGATGCAAACTAAACAAAATCAGACAACAAATATGCATATAAATAGTGGGGCGAGACAATATGAAGAGTAGGTTCTCTAGGGTTATCCGCTGATCAGAGTAAGTAAGTAAGTAAGAATCTTGTACAGTGATGAATCTTCAATTTAAAGACAACTATGTCTATATCTTCTCGTATTGCTTTGTTTACAGTGGGCGGTCTGCACGGCTCCTGCTAGGTTACTTGATTATATCCTACTATATTTTGACATCCAGATTCTGAGCTACTTAGATATCTCATGGCATAGTGCTACAAGTATTGTAACAGTGTTTGGTTAGATCTGACCAGCAGATACAGTGATCGGCAATATTTCAAGAAACATATAGCCATATATTAGCAATATCAAAATCTTAAATAGTGTCGAAGTAAAACATAATACTTTTACATGTTTGTTTAGGATCATAAAGAGAATCTACGGCTTCAAAATATTGGAAAGCAAATATTGAAACTAGTAAACCCATTTTAATGATTTAAAGTTATAATCCGTTCAGCCTTGTCAGAAATTTTGTCAGATCAGTACATCTGAGACCTAGGTTGCGTTTAACCCCAAAAACATATGGACAGAAGGAAATTTATAGCCATTAGGCATTTTCGAATATTGGGCCAACTTTGTCCGCCCAAGGGGAGTGTCCGCTAAAGGGGATACTTAAATACTTTATATACCGATCGAATGTTTTAGAAAAAATGTCCGCCGATGAGAGTGTTCGGATAAAAGAGGTGTCCATTAAGGTTGTTTTCACTGTGTATTTGCCAAGCCATTTCACGAAATTACTTCAGAAAATAATACTTCCAGCTTTTTTATGAATATTTAGGATCGCTAGGGCGCTAGGATCTCCGAAATCTCTGGATTCACCGAACTTGTTATGGTTCAAATGGTCACATGGGAAAAGTTGATAGAGGTACAAACTTTGATCTATTGTTGTATTATTTTGTGGGTTTGAAAAATGATGGAAAAAATTCAAAGTCATTAAGCTAGAAGAGTGTTTAGAACTGGAACATACGAAAACAACCAATTTACAACGCAGAAATCCCATTCTCCTTTATAGCTGTTGAATTATTTTGTTTCAGAAATCACATTAGTAATCATTCACAAAGAGGATTAAATATATTGAATTTGTGATGTAAAAAGATATATATGCCATATGAATATATGCCGATCACATTATCCGTTATAGCACACTGTATATACATACGGTGAATTTGCATTTGCATTGCCACTAAAAACAGAGAAGCACACGAAATTTTTCATAGATTCCATAGTTCAGTTAAATTTGAGTTTTGATTTTGCACGCCCATGTATGTATGTGGGGTTGACATCACTCGCTAAGAAGTTATTTTGTTAGTCTTTTGCGCCATTTCATTAAACAAAGTAATTTCAAGTCTTTCTAAACATCATTTCCAACTAAACTAAACGATTATTCTGCTTTAATATGGACGTATAATTTTATATATTTTTATATATGTTCGTATGTATTTAACTATGTGTTTTCGGTTCGCTGCCGCTCCCCATAAGAACTCAGTTCCCAGGGCAAACTTTCGCACTCACTCACTCACGCACTCACGCAGTCACGCAATCACGCGCACATGCACACGACAAATAATTAAACTTAACTGAGACTTCAATATCTCCATCGCAATTTTTCCTAGTCTTGCTCGAATATTCCTTTTTGATATCCCTTCTTTCTACGATTGTTTCTTGCAATGTCCAACAAAAACCATCAGACGTCCAAGCTTTACAAACTTAAATGCTACGAGTATACATACACACACATATATATATATATATTTATAAATACTATATGTATGTATGTGTGCAGGATTAGTGACTGCACTAGTATTGGGTTTCACTATACGTATATCTATGTCTGTATATATATATATATATACTTGTATTTGTGTATTTGTATAATATATTGTATAACGACAACAACTAATTATTGCTTTTCGGTTTTTGAAATGCGGTACGTCATTTTCTTTTGCTTGCTTACACTACGCGGAGTTTTCGAAGAATGTACATATTTAGAAAAATAATCCGTTAATTATTTACTAACTGCTAGAACAAAAATAACAACTTAGTGGGCCTGATAGTACTTAAATAAACGAGGGGAAGGGAAGGGCGGGAAGAGAGCCTTTGGGTACTGGTAGCTTCTTAAATAATTAATAGTATGTACTGCACTTTAAATGTTGTTGTAGTTTGATGTTCGTAATTTGTAGAGGACCTAAGAGAAGGCCTTTCTTGATAGGGTTCTTAGTTTACATTTTTGCTTTTCGCATTGTGAACGCTGTGAACGTTGTTGTTGTTGTTTTTGTTGTTGTTGTGGTTTTAGTTGTAGTTGAGTTCTTAGTTAGACGGTGGTGCCTGCTGTTGCTGTTGCTGTTTCTGCTGCTGCTACTGTTTACTTCCCCTCTTCCTGCCACGTCGCACCTCATTTTCACGTCCATTGGCGGCTACCAGCTGCGACGGCCCGGCCCCCGCCAACCATCTGGAAGAGGAGCCACGCCCCGTACCAGAGCGTCAATGTGTGCGCCGTGGCCTGGCTAGCTTTATTCAAGCTATGCGTTTCCGTGGCCGAGCTCCTACTGCTGCGGGCAGCGCCTTCAATGATGTTGTTGTTGTCCAGCTCGTGGAGCACGGGCAGCTCGCTGAGGTCCGTGACGGTGGTCCGCTCTGTGATGGGGGCGTAGAGGCGCTTCGGCTTGCAGCGCTTGTGCTTCTTGTAGGTTTTGGTGACATTTATGCTGTAGCCCTCGAGAAACTCGGAGCCCTGCAATCCAGAGAGTAAATAGTTAAAAATCTGTTTCATCATAGCTTGTTACACACAATATAAGTATTAATTAATTTTTTTTTGCTGCTTTCGAAAGGAAATTGGAGAGTTTATTTATGCCGTTCATGTCGCACCAACAACAAGTGATGCAAATGGCTCTGCGAATATACAAATAGAGGCAGCAACAAAACAATCCCATTTCCGATGCCCGATTCCCCGTGCAAATAAAGGGGCAGGTGTCGGTAGCGGCAGAGCTGCGTCGAATCGCACATCGTCCTTGCCGCTGCTCCTCCGAAACAAAATTTTGTGTTTTAATTACGCCGAATAAATTTGTGTACATAAATAGGCAACGGCGGTCTCGCCGACTGTATGTAAATGCGACTGTATTTTGTGTGTGTGTGTGTGTGTGTGTGTGTGTGTCTCCTTGCTCTGTTTTGCTTTTGTCGGCCGGTTTCGCGTTCCCATCTTTTGGGTTGTGGTCAAATATTTTACGGCTGCCTGCCGTGCCAGAATCTAAATCTAGCAAAACGTCTGTATTTATATGTGCATGTGTATATGTGTGTGTGTGTATGTTTGTGTGTGTGTGACTTTATAACGAGTGTTTACTAATAATATTATGCAAATCGCACGGCCAAAGCTGAAGGGCAGGCGTCTCCCTGGTTGTTGTTAAATTTCTGAGAAAACATTTTTGAATCGTTTTGCGAAAGTCTGCCTGTCTGGATGTCCTTTGGGTAACTGCGTCTCTTGACAGGCATTTGCAGGTGTGTTTGGACAGTCTATGCTGTGGACACTGTGGCGCGGGGCTAAGATAGAACGCGTTGGTCCTGACAGATATTTTAATTGAAAAGGAATGCGGAATGTTTGTTGGAAGCTTTAAAGCTTGTAGCATTGCTTTATACACGTATACCTACAGACTTTGTCATATTGGTGTAAACATGGTGGCGGAAGTGAATAAATAAGCTTTTTCCAAAATCCCTATATTTCAGTTGACTTTAGATTTGTGTTGTTTGCTGCCCAGGTAGGGCAGCGAATTTAAAGGGAATCCCGCAAATCACAAATTGTAAGTCCCTTCTATGGGCTTTCATCCAGTATAGTTACTCTCCCAAAATAACAAGGCTTTCATATTGAACAATTTACGAATTGAATTGCGAAGGTCGCTTTTTACATAAAAAAGGATTCCATTATCATTAAAATCACAGGAAACCAAGAAATAAAACGGGACGAGACTGTGGTAGATGTATTGCTGAATCTATCCTTGTTTGCAGACTTCCATCAGTCAACCCGAATTCTTTTCATACCCTATGTCCAAAGGGTAAAAGGGTATACTAGTTTAGTGCGAACGAGTGTAGGACACACACTCACAGAAGGAGCCTAGGCAGAAGTAAACAGGTCCTCACAGCTTATATTAATGCGTGCCTACAATTTTCTCGTAAAATACTATTTTTAAAACGCAAATAAATAGAATGCCAGTCAAGTCCAATACTATCTACTTGCCCAGGATTGCAAATCAAAAATGTCAGTATTTGTGAAAATATACGCCTCAACCGTGCTAAAAGTAATCTAGCGTTTGTTTCACAAGAATCGGAAGGACAATAAGAGTAGAAAGGCCCCGAACCCGCTTTTTAACGAAAGTGTTGTACAGAAAATGAACGAAATTCCGAACTTACATACATCCAAGAATTCTGTGGTCTATAGTGGTGTGGGATCATACAAGTACAGATGGACGGACAAACGGTCAATCGGAAATGGCGATATCGACTAACATTATCATACTGATATGAATATGAAGATGTACATACAAGTATATACTCTGTGTGTTACATAAAGCGCATTCGCACGTAACTAGAATACCGGTTCATCCTCTTTGGGGATAGGGCTTACAAATTCGTTATGGCACATATTTTGAGAGTTCTCCAGTCGTTTGGGCTTACATTTCGTCTTCGAGATGCTCAGCAACCTGTCAAACAAAATTTTTCATTTGTTGTGTCCTTATCCATTTTGGCCTAAAAAGCTGCTGCCACAGACCTTGGCAGCCCAATGAATTATTGAGTTTTGCGCAAGGAACGAGAAAAAGGGCACTAATATTCAACGCAATAGCGGAAAATCGATGACAATTCGAGCGGCTGTAAAGTTACTCAAGTGTAGCCAGCTTCTAACTTAAGAAATTGCGTACCATTTCCCAGTCAGGCCTGCTGAGTGACCGCTCATATGGGATAGTTAGTCAGTCAGTCGCTCGCATGGTTAGACGAATGGGTTGCTGCTGGAGCACTGTCTGGCTAGCGACTGCATAGACTAAGTACGAGTGTATAACGACCGAGGGCCAACTATGCGAGTATGCTTCGCTCAGGCTTGGTTTAGCTTTGTGTGACCCCGTGAGTGATCGTTGTCGGAATCGTACGTGCCAGCTTAGTTAAGAGCCGCCTAGTGAAGTGGAGGGGTCTAACAAACTCTTCCTGTTCCTTACAGTCCTGTTCGCAGTCCGCACATAAGGGTCGCCATGGCCGCATCGCCGCAAATGCAATTGATTGCACTTTATAACGTGTGGCTTCCGGTAGACATTATCCAGGCTGCAGCCAGCCACATCATTCCGCATTCAGCAGCAAGCGCCCTAATGTCTTTTGGGCTGCGATGAATAAATGAGGGTCCTGTAGGTGGAGTCGGGCTAGGACTCCTTTAAGTGTGTGTGTGTGTGTGTGTGTGTGTGTGTGTGGATGTGTAAGGTTGAGGGTGACACTCAAATGGCAGCAAGAAAAATTATTCCAGATATTGTCTAGCAATTTAGCTGATTACGCTGATGGATGTAAAGTAGGAAAATGTTGGACCGATTAATGTGCAAAAGGCAGAGAGGAAAAAATGGCGACAAGAGTTCCCTTTGTTCGTCGTTGGCGACTTTCCTTTGGACCTATGTACTATATGTGCCAGGAGGGCCTGAGAGGGAGCCTGCTGGTTACTTACCGGCACCACATGATTTTTGGCTCCCCAGCAGATCGGCTTGAAGCTGCCTTTGCGCGTAGCCTCTTGAAACTCGCCAAATTGATTTTCCCAATCGTAGGATATCAGGCGCGCCTCCAGTGTCATGCCAGCCAGTTCGGGCGGTGATGATATCAGTACGGGGTTCGAATCACTGCAAATAAATAAACAACAAAATTAAATTCACAATTTATTATTGGAAAATTGAACGCCTACACGCTCAGCTTATCCTGTGACGACACCCTGTGACGGTACCAAGGCCGTCGTTTCTGTATGTACGTTTAGTATGTATGTCCAATAATTTAAATCATATTCAGTGTGAACAACAAAGCCAGGGTCAAATTTTCCTTTTGTTATACTCCTTGCCCTGACAATTCAGCCACACATTCGTACACACACATACTACAAGTATAAGCACCAGCCTCTGTCAACTAGAGATGTAATGCTGAATTGTGGCTACATATAGTGTAACATACGTATATACTCGTATATCTACATCAAAGTAGCAATCTGGCAACTTACATTCCACTTCCATTTTTCTTCTCTCTGCTCACCCTTTTTATCAGTTAACTTTCGTCTTGTACACTTCGACTTAAGTAGACGCGCCAAGAAAACTTTCCTCACTTTAGTTTAATAATTCATGCCTTTTAATCTGAATAGATTCGCATGACCCCGCCAACGGGCAATTCGATGTAATAAGCTTAATGATAAGAAAAAAGCGTTACACGTTCTCTCCGATCAAGCTTAAATATAATAAAGATAAATACCTAGAAATTGCTTCTAGGTAGGCAATAATTTGTTATTTTAATCGGGATAACAAAATTCAAAATAATCTGATATCTGCCAGGTACAGAACATAAAATCCGACTGACCCTAATACCATATAATAGCAATAATATGGGAGTGCAGCTCGCATTCTATGTTTCTTTCTTTAGATCACTCATCCGAGTCATTAAGTTCCAACTCCGAGACAAAATCACGGCGTAACTAAAAGTAATACTGAACGATATTTTGCTAGGAGCGCCGAATGTAGAGCAACTGGTCCAACGTCGAAACGTAGAAAATCTTCAAAAATACTAACTAACGGATATGTGCTTCTTTTACTCCCGAATACGAGTACATTCATGCTCTCAGATCCAACTAGAATCCACCTGGTTGATTTGAAAACTGCAAAACTGAGCTATTACATATTATTACAAACAAAACTGTTTACAGTGTGGACACTTCACATAATATAAGACCATTAGCTTGATGCAGTGTCTGTCAAAATCTGTCGAAATAAAATCAATATTTTTGTGCAAAATAGCATCCCCCAGCACGGGAACATAGACCAAATCAACCGCATAACCGCAGAGATTCGAACTGAATTTGAAGGCCGGGAACACTGCTCTGTAATTTTCGTAGACATTGCTCAGGCGTTGAATTTCAAACCGCTGCTTCCTCCAAACATGGACAAATTTTAATAAATTATATTGGATACAGCAGATTATACTGCAATTTGGTGGCGTAGTACTGAACTACAATAGTTTCATTATTCGTACAATTTCCAACAGAGATTTACAAAAATCAAATTCAAGATGGGAGCATTAAGGTCTAGAAGGCTGACGTCAATATTGCTGTATCGCCCTCCTGAGAATGCTGCGAGGGCGTTGAAACATTGCCTCTTCCAACAGGTGGAATTTTTTGGAGCAATGCAAATAATTTTCAAGTAAAGTGCATGTAAATACCTTTTGGCTTTTGTTTGCTTTGGTTTCGCTCGCAAGTATTATGTTATTATGTTATCGCTCCTGCCTTTTCTTTGCAGACAGAGCTGCAGAATAAAATAAACTCGTTTTGACTAATCGCTGGGAGAATCTACGTTTGGTCTATGTGGTCTCAGCGGCTTACAAAATATATATACTTTGTGGGGTCTGCCACGTCTCCTCCTGTCTGGTTCTTGGTACATCTTGACAAAAGACTCACGTGGTGTGACCACGCTAAACAAATGGATCTTTTCTAAAAAAAATCCTCAAGAATAACAACTATAATGCTCATCCGATCCACTCTCTCAAGAACCAGGGGAAATTACCTAGCAGCCTCCAATGGAGGAAAAGCTCAGAAGCATTTTACACAAGATTTGAAATCTTAATTTGAGTTTGGCGAAGAGAAGATACAATAAATAACAAATTTATTATTTTTATACTCTGTACATGAAATGTATAAGAGTATATTAGGTTTGCGCGAGCTGAAAAATGTAACAGGCAGAAGGAGGCGTGGCAGACCCCACAAAGTATATATATTCTTGATCAGCATGACAAGACGAGTCGATTTAGCCCTGTCTGTCTGTCCGACTGTCCGTCTGTCCGTCCGTATGATCACCTAGATCTCAGAGACTATAAGAGCTAGAGACACCAAATTTTGCACAAAGATGCCTTATGTGTGTACGATATACGAGTTTGTTTTATTTTTTTGATTTCCCCCCACTCCCCCCTATGGGGGTTTTCCCGATTTTCCATTCATATAATCGCCTATATCTCGGAGACTATAAGACCTAGGAACACTAAATTTTAGTCCAAGATGCCTTGTATGAATACGCAGAAAATGTATATTTTGGAATTTCCCTCCCTTCCCCCTCTCCCCCGCAAACTCTTTCTCTAACTCCCGTAATTCTTGGAATTTCGAACTAAAATTTTGCAAATACCCCCAGTTAGTTATTATTTGTCCGTATGCCAAGTTTCACTATGATAGACCGATTTAACAAGTTATATTCATAAATATATTTGCTTTTTAAATTTTCTTATTTTTCTTTTTTTTTATATAATTATTGTAATCATATGTACAGAGTATTTCAAAGTCGGGACACCCGACTTTTTACTTGTTTTATATTTATATTTTTTTAAATTTGTAGAAAATTACTTAAGTACTAGTATAAAGTGGTTTTTGTGGTTGAAATCATATTGGAAAATGGTTAAAAGGTTCTTTAGTTAATGTCAACTTGGAATTAATAATTGAAGCGCACAAATATATACATACATGTGAGTATATAGCATGATGGAATGAATGGATATAAACACTCTTCGTGTATCCCTCCGTCTGAACATATGAACCCCAAGAAGTTGTTAGCCATAATAGCTAAACTTTGTATATATATAGTACTTGTCTTATCCATACGCAGAGCAAGTTCATTACAACTATATATAGATATAGCTTTCATAGAATCTACCAGTAGAAAGTCTATTTTGCGACTTTAATGTTCTGCTTGAAATATTTAAGCATTCTCAGGCTTTTATTGGGATTGCGTTTATAGTCTATCCTGAGGGCTTGTCATTCTGATGGAACTCCAAACCTTTCTCCTACTTAGTAATATAATGTGTAAATAGTTTTTGGCATCCATAGTTCCCAACCATTTTTTACACCACCAAAATGGGTTTTGAATTATAGACTTCTTTCATATGCACTCATTTGTTCTTCTCTTTTCCCCTTAAATCATATTTCTCGGCTTTGTTAGTGCGTTTTCCGACATTTCAGGGGCGGCCCTCACAATTAGGGCAATTAATTTTGTTCTTTGGCGGGCATTACGTAAAATGTTGCTTTAATTTCCTGGTGGGGTAAACCCACGGCAGCGACCACCTTCCTTATGGACTGACTCCCTGCAGGGTTGCTCTCTGGTTTGTTTCGGTTGTGGAAGAATCCGTTGGAAGCCGTAAACAAATCTCTTTTAATTAATTTATGATTCCACTCAATCCGCATCGAGGGGTTTCTGATAGATACACGCACTGCCACAAAGTCTGGCGGGGCTCGCTTTCAGTTTGGACTGGGGTGGGTTGGGTTGGGTTCGGTTCTGGCTCCGTCTGACGACCGGGTGCTTGGTGGTCCAGCAGACCGCTAGCTTGCTGCCATATGCAGCGACCGACCAACCAACAGCCGCAACAATTTGCGGTTGAAAACACGAAAAATATTAATGTCTGCGGATTGATTGCAACCGCCCCCTTGCCACGTCGCGTCGCTTAACTAAAAGCAGACACTTGTACTCGTATGGCTCGCTATTTGTGTGCGCCTGACTACAATAACATATCGTATAGTATACTATACAAGTATAATAAAATATTGCAGAATCCATCTGTCTGTGTACGAGTACGGGTGATTGTGAATTTTAGTGCGGCTCTGCCACATCAAGGACATCGATGCAAGCGCGGGGAAATGCTGCGTGTTTCTGCATCCTGTTTGTATTGGTGTTTGCGGTTTATAGAGCGTGCGCGTTGCTAATATATCCGGCGTGACCGTAACCTTAACCCCAAGTCAAGCCATCAGAACGCTCTGCTCACGGCCCACCTTCCATAAATACGAGTATTTCAAAATGCAGCCGTGCGCACATATGGTTTTAATGCTAAAAGCTCAGCATACGGCATTCGAGTACATCACGGCATGTTGTCCGCCCCCCGTTAACCGCGACATTTAAGCCTTATCTCCGATTCGAGCAGTGCCGACTTCATTGGCACTCACTATAATTAAAATTATGCGCCACAATGACAAAGCACGTCGCCTTGATGCTGCTCACCTGGCTGGCTGGCTGGCTGGCATCGTTGATTATAAAACCCAATACCACGTCAAAATGCACCCAAAACCCAAATGCAATCGTCACAGATTTGAAATCAGAATGCCCGCTGCAGGGCATATACCCGTTCTACCAGACTGAGACCGGCGTGCACAGCCATTATGGCGACTACTGCGGCAGGCAGGCAGGCAGGAGACGCTTTTGTGCAATGGCCGTCGTGTTTTGAATGATCCAGTGTCTCTTTGTCTGTGTATTTGCGTATCTGTAGAATGTTGATTCGTTGTTATAGCTACATATATTTCAAAAATCAGTTGTTATCTAGTGTTGCAAACTGTCGAATTTTAGACAAGACAGATCTTAGGCGCACATCAAGTTCGCCCAACGTGGCACTTGCGTTGATAGAAATTATTGTGCATTTGAATCGGTAATTTTAAGATGAAATTACAGCGGTATGTACATTTTAATCTATGTCGACAGCCCATATTTGTTGATAAAATATAAAATAAATAAATAAACTAGTGCTACTGAAGGAGAGGTCTAAAATTTGCTCTATGTGAGAAATTGATAAATACAAGTAATTATACAAGCTGCCATATAAATGTTAAGTTCGAAAAAATTCAAAAATTAGTACAAACACCTTCTAATGAAACACACACTCATAATTATCAGTATCAATATTATAATATTTCGTTTTGGGTGGACTCCTGAATGTCAGGAATTTGACAATTGCTATTTGTGATCGATATGCAAAATGTAGATATCGATTATTTTTAACACAGCAACGATGCCGAAAATGCCTGAATACATCGCTCCTCATTAAGTGCCTTTGAGACGTCATTTGTCATTCGATGGAAAATACCGTCGTGATGAAGGAAGTGACTGTAGTTTTCGAAAAAAAATACATCAAAATCTAAGGAATGCGTATGAAAGGAGCAGTAAACTCTGCATTAAAGATTAATTTAAGTATATTTTCAACTGGGAACTACTCTGTGTTGAGTAATAGACTCATGATCATTTCTAATCTATCACTTTGATGCAAGATTTTATATTTGAAATTTTTTAACAAATGCTGGACTTTACGTTGCTCCTGTATAAGGGGTTTATAGGTTTTCTTGGACGTATTTACAACATGTTCCCAAATATCAAGGCAAAAACAAAACGCATAACACAAATAATCGTGTAATCCAAATGGACACTTCGGATCTACGATTCGACGCCGTTCAACTTTTTCTGTGGGGTGCCATAAAGAACCGATATTATGCGAAAAATGCATTTCCATTCTGGCCCTCAAGGCGAATATCGAGCAAGCCATTCGTGAGATATAGCAACAAATCCTCATTAACGTCTTTGAAAACTGGGTTTACAGAATCCAGTTTTGCAAAGCTGGCCTAGGTAGCCACATATAAAATCAAAAAGTGTGAATACTTGCTTCCTGGAATCTACCAATAATCATAAATTTTGTAAAAAGACACGAACCACCTTATATCATTGTATAATTATCAAATTGAAAAATTACGCAAAATCACCTGCAAAAGGACGCACACGCAATTAAAAGTCTTTTAATGGCAAAAACCACCGTAACATTGGTTAGTTTGATCCTGAGTGGGGAGTTCAACCAAAAACCCCAAGCGCGAGCAAACAAAATCAACTACAGACCCAAAATGTAAATTAAGCTAATAATGGCCGTACGAATTGAAATGGTGGCAGGAATGGCGTGATCAATGGATCCCAGTAGAGGGGGTAATCAGCTCTGTTCCATATCCATGTGCTGTGTGTGTATCATCGGATGCCTTCCTGCCTGCATGCCTGCTTGCCTGAATGTGAGTGCGACCCGCCCGTTTTCATTGTATTTTATGTCCTTGGGCTTGCCGAAGGCTAACGACTTCAATGAGTTTTGCATGACGACGACCAAGTTCAGTAATAATGATGAAATGAAAACGGGAGTATCGTCCTTGTTCCTGTCATTGATGGCGTCCATAACTCTCTTTCACCACCGTTGGCCCTAGCGGAATTGGTTTTGTATTGGTCAATTCAGTTACAGTTGAGCTGCAAACAGTTTTTGATGCAGCGCGGGCTATACGAGTAGTTGTCAAAATCTGTGCGTATCGATTCAATTGAGTTTCGACCACAGTAAGCGCCGGGGTCCACAGGCCAGACAAGTGGCTTATAATTACTTTATTGCCAAACTGCCATCATCTGATTACAGGAGCCAGCCTGCGGATTGCAAAATGCTTGAAATTCCTTTAGCTATGCCTAACAGTCCAGTAACCAATTGATTAAGATAGTAAATGGATACGTGAACAGTGACCGTGTAACCATAACGACATAATTGCAAATGGCTTTATCAATTCATGTCGAGTTCGGCTCAACAGTCTCAAGACAAAAGGCACCAAAATGACGAACAACGCCATAAACAAAAGACACAAACAAGAGAAGAGCAACGGCTGTGACAATAGCAGGACGAGATGCAGATTGCACAGGACGGGACAGAGTCTTAAGAATGTGAGGGGGCTTGTTTGTGTCGAATCCAAAACGAAAAGGCAATATACTTATGTGTACCATCTGGTGATGAAGTTCATGAGTGACTAGGAAGCCCATTCGTTTAGTAATGTATATAGTTCGATAACAGTTAAGCGACAAATTCTAGTAACGTCTGTTTAACCATTGCTGAGTCCTTTGGGGTCATCAGCCACTGCCACGCCTGATTAAGCTGCTTTCAGAAACACCGTACTGAAAACGATCGTTAAGTTGTCTTGTGTTGTGGTTAAGTGGTGATTAAAAGTTAAGGAGTTGACAGCTACCATCAATCACATCATCTTATCTCGGTCAAATTTGGCTTAATTCAATGCGAGTCTCCCATTACAATATTTATGCACCTGATGTGATTATTCCAGCATTGAACAGCTACCTATTAGACAGTGCAGAGTTGTAATGTTCAATGGCCGCCTGGATTTCTGGTACGCTCTGTTTGCTTAACACTCACTTGACGTTCATAGAAATCAATATTTTTAAAATAAGCTATGCAATGGGTGGAGAGGGGGACTATTCTCTGACCTATCTCAACTGGAGTGATGTTCAGGCTCCTTTGTTTACTATACAAATAGTTCAGCATACAAACGACTCCCGATTTCGTTCTCGTCCGTTTCATGCCACCCAATTTTCTGTCTGCCTTTCGGCTTGCTGGTGTGAATTCGTTCGGTGATTTGGTTATGCAACAACATCATTAAATCACCAACAACTTTAGTCAACAGAGGAATTAACTGAATTTCCGCATACACAAGAAGTGGCGGCAGAATTGTCAAGTCCGTTGGCACAATGGCACAAAATACATATAATTTAAGGTTGGCTTCAGTTATTGAGCTGTACAAAGAAAATGTCTTTTCGAGTACACACACACAAACATACAGTTCATGATAAAATAATGCTATGAGGACTTACGTTGCCAGTTGCTCGATGCCAAGGGAATGCAACACTGTGGGCAGACTCGGTAGAGAGTGACACGTTGTCAGCCTCTTCTGGCGCGGATAGTAAAGTGTCAGCACCGTGCAGCTCTCCTCCTTCATTGTGAGGCCACCTGTAAGGAAGAAGCGAAAAATGCATAAGAAATGTGACAAAAAAGCACAACTGACAACGCGCAGAATGCAAAAATGTGCACAGTCACAAGAACATCCAGTCACAGCAATGGCGCTGTCAATTTCCTGGCTGGCTGGCCAGGAACACAACATTGCTCCTCGCACGAACAAAAGGCAAACAAAAATTAAGCGTCCGCTTCAATGGCAGTAAAGCAGCAGGCGCCGTCATAATATTCCCGAAGACGATGGCTGCGAAAAAGGATATTGTGACGCCAGCAACAAATTCAACAACGGTTGCCTGCCGTTGCATCGTTAGCATCAGCTCAGCATCGTCGTCATTACTTTATTTCAGTGGAAGTCCCTAGTGCGGGCAGGTGTCTGAGATATATTTGTATTTGTGCACGCCTGGCTGCCTCAATGTTTTACTGAACTTTCTTTCGAGAAATGTCTTTACTTACTTTTCTATTGCCTATTTTTTGGAGTTTGTGAAAAGTCGCAAGATTTGCTGCTGAATCCTCTCACTTACATAGTCGAGGGGTCAAGCCTTTTTCTAAATTGAATTTTCTCCATTGATTTTAGTTGTAATACTTGTATGCCCAAATAAAATAAATTATTCGTTAACAGAACCAAATTAAATTTTATTGTTGTTTTAAATGAGATCAGCGTAACTTTCAAGCAGGGTTGTAAAGAAATCGATCTGTCAAGTGCCATTGCTTACATTCCGATAAATCGCGACAAAAAATCGATGCATCGACTCCTTTATATTTGTTGTTTTTCTTCGCTATTTATGTGAAATTTAGATTTGGTTTTAGTTCTTGAGTCTCCAATAACATTCCGTTTGGTTTTAATTATTTTTAAAATTAAGCTTACGATATTTTTGCCAAAGATATCGATGATTGTCGGTAAACATCGGAAATCGAGTACTCATTATCAAAGTATTTTTCAGCAAAAATGTTAAGCATTGATTCTTTGTCAGGCTCGTGATCATTTTAAAAAACTTTTTGTATATATTTGGGGTCATCGTTTTTATAACAAATTTAAATTGCGTGTAATATTTTGTATCGCACTCAAAATATCAATATCCTACGGATCATACGAGTTCATTGTTCTCTGTTCGGAGTCAGCAGTTTAATCCTCTCTATGCCTCCACCTGTCTTACACCTGCCAGCCGTTTCGCTAAGTAATGACATCGACTTTACAAAATAGCTGTCGCCGCCATCGTCGTTTTTGCCAGTGGCTCGTCGTTGCAGTTCCATGTCTTCCTTCTGATTTTCGTGCTTGTTCTCATTTTATGTGCCATGTGCAGAGCAATCGTCACCGTCCTCCTCGTTCGCCTTCTTTGTTGCCATCTCCCACGCTGTCTCGTCGCATATCGTTGTTCTGATTTAAATGTGTCATTCCGACAATTGCTTGACGTTGCTGTAGCCGCCATAGCTTGTTTACAGAACGGCTTGCTCGTTCGAGTCCTTCCGGTTCGTGGATTTAAGCTCCATTCCAGGGAGCGCTTGGGTTGGGGTCTCTCTGGATAGTCTCTAGGTATTGAGCATCTTCGTACCAATACTAGGTGGCAGTGCGAGTCGCTAACAACGCCTTGCACACCATACCACACGGGTTTTTCCCCGTGCTTTTGCTTTGTGCTACAAATTTTGCAACGGCAAGGCAAGGGCAGCTTTTATTTTATTTTATGGGTATGTGCTCTATTTGCTTTCTTGGGGCGGTTGATTGTTCGGCACATGGCCATCGGGGAGCAGCTGCGAGAATGGAAACACTTACCCAGCGTAATTGCCTTTCGTGACGAACTGTCATAAATGCATTCGGCTATGAGTCTGTCGCCGGGCAAGGAATGCACCGACTGGGGCAGGCGACGAAAGTCTTGATAGGCGACGTCTATGTTGCTATCGTGTGCAACGGGCGGAAGCTCCTCGGTTTGGCGAATCTGCAATAAGTTTGCTCATTAGCATTGAGGTAAATATTTTGCATCGACGTGTGTTAATGGCTGTCGAAAGAGGTTTGCGTTGGCGCCGATACCCCCCATTCACTTATGTACATAAAACGTTAAAGGCTCGACACTCACCTGGCGCAGCTTCACCTCCTTGCCGATTTGGTGGGTGCGCATCATAACCGCGAAAATGTTAATGCCTTGCGGTGGAAACGCATAGCCTGTGCAGTCCTCGATGCATTGGCCCTCGGATATGACGCGCTTCTGGCCGGGCGGAATGATGTGGCGCCAGTTCGGGTCCATGCCTGCGAAATATGCGTTGAAAAATGTGTTACGCTCTTAATTACCGACTTAAATTACGTACTGATGGCCCACAAGGGGGAAGGGGGCCTGAAACAGGCACCTGTGACAGCTGTGGCTGTTTGAAAATGCTCTCGACGCGATAAATACTCGGCGGTTAACAGCCACACACAAGGCTATACTATATGTACTCGTATGAACAACGCTGTCTGGCACTCTTTTTAACTTTGAACGCTGATTTTTAATGCAATTTGCTTAGAACATGTAATTACATTAAATTTGATGCTTTGAAAGGTTCACAACTTTGTCACACACACTCATGTGCTTGTACAGCCTTCTAGCTTTCCCCCACCCTCACATCAATTAAAGATTCGTGTTTACGGTTTTGAAGTTTTCGGCAATCAAATTATACGCTTACTCTCGGCCACTTTTGTGTTGCCTTAACTTAATTTGTTTACAATTTGTTAAATTCAGCGAGACTGGCTGTAAAATATTGCGAATACGCCCCTATGCCGCCGCATATCCCCTCACATGTTAAAAAAATATTTGCAATTCATGAGTGCCACATTTTTGCTGTCCTTGTTGCTATTGCGTCTGGCATTCCAATTGTTGTGTGGGTGGGTTCAGGCACACGGGTGTGTGTTTGTGCTCCAGTATGCCAATCAAAATACTCGTGGGAAACCCTTCGGATTGCATGCAAATAGTGAGCAAGGAGGCAATGAATTTCTGTTTAAAATCATCGCATTTATTTAAGTCTGATCAGAAACACACCTATGTACATACAGATAGAGGTGGATCGATTATGGACGAACAAAATGAGACCACGTAAAAGCGCATCAAATGTTTTCTTTTGTTTGTCAATCCTGCCAGACCATTTTCAATTAAATGTTGACCATAAGTAATAGAAGGCAAGAGATTTATATGCGCCCATAACAGAAGCAAAAATAAGAAGAAGACGAACAACTTGCTGCCTGTGGGCGTATTACCGGAGTGAAGTTTTTTCCTAAATAACTTGCTTTAGAATTAATGACACCTACTCCAAAAATAACAATAATTGTACCTACATTATTGTAGAAGAATACGCAAGTATTTTTTACTTTTTAACGCCTATTAATTTGTTTTAAATTCGTTTTTTAATATTTAAGTCGGTTTTTTTAATTTTTCTTATTTTTTTGTATCTGAAGTACCAATAACCAATAACCATAACCAATTCGTCTGAATATGGATAGACCTACTACTACCTACCTATTCAAATATACGGTCTCATAATCGGAACCTAACCAAACTCTCATCAAACTACCCTTGAAGGACATCCTTTCCACTAAAAAAGAATCGTCAAAATCGGTTCAGCCATTCGAATGTTCTGAGGTAACAGTCATTAAAATAAATACTGCCGAATTGAGAATCTCCTACTTTTAAAAACCTTACCAAACTTTAATCTAACTTCTCATGAAGTACATCCTTTCCAATAAAAACCAATTATCGCAATCGGTTATCGAGACTCTGAGTTATTCGTCCTTTGTCGCTCACATACTTAATGCAAATTCAATAATGCATCCAAAATGTTTTTTTCTGGATGCCATTGTCAGAACTGGAGCAAATTAAACAATAAACAAATTAATAAATAAATGTTTAATTTCGATTCTGAACAAACAATTAAAATGCGACCACTTGGGAAACACCAGCTTTCAAATAATAAAATAATCATCAAAATTGGTTCACCTAGACTAAAAGTTCTGAGGTAACAAGCATACGAAGTCACAGCCTCCATTTTTTTGAAGTTGCTTAAAAATGAAAAAAAAAATTTTTCGATCAATTATATAGTTATATTATATTATAAGTTAAGCCAAAGCAAAAACAAGAGAGAACGCTACAGTCGAGCAAGCCCGACAGTGTAATACCCTGTACCCAGGTAAACTTCCGTCACTGAGTTATATGCGCCCATAGCAGCAGCAAAAAGAGGAAGAAGAAGAGCGAACTTGTTGCTGCAGTTTGTGGGGGTTGTACTGGCGAGAATTTGTTTCGCTAATAACTTTTCTTAAAATTGACCGAATTGAATAAAATTTTGGACAACAATAGACAATTATATACAAATTATGTGTGCAAAGTTTGTGGACGTTATTGACGAAATTCTGTAGCGTGGGAAGGGGGGGGAAATTAAAAAAAATAAAATAAACTCGTCCTTACTCGGACCTAGGAGAATCTGGATGCCAACTTTGGTTATTCTAGCTTTTATAGTTTCTGAGATCCTTGCGTTCATCCAGACTGACGGACAGACGGACGGACAGACGGACGGACATGTCTAGATCGATTTCTCTCGTCATGCTGATCAAGAATATATATACTTTATGGGATCGGAGATGCTTCCTTCTGTATGTTACATACTTTGCACAAACCTAATATACCCTTTTTACCCTACGGGTACAGGGTATAACAACAACAACAACAACAACCGGTTCTGGCAGATCTTATGCAGCGATTACGTTTGTGGATTTAACTTCCTTTAATATTTAACTGTTATAATGAGCTCTATCGGGAGAGATTTGAGTAAATTCCACGAATTACAGGAGTTAGAGAAAATCACTAAAAGCGAGAGAGGAGGTGTTCATACGGACAGATTGTCAGGCGGACAGTGCAAACGCAGGTACAGAGTTTAAAAACACTCGCAAATATCAAATTGCTAAAAGCTGTGAAATGTTATATTATCGCCGGCTTGTTAGTGATTAAGTTTTTCTTATTTCCATTCCCTATTTTTTAGGTACTTCACCGACATAATGTTACGCATTTAAATGCTATACAAGTACATGTACATGTATTTGAAGCCCTACTATTTATTTAATTGAACTCTGTTCGGATAAGCTTCGTATTATGTTTCAATTCAGCGTGCCCCAGTTTTGTAATGAAATTGTAGCTTTCAGCAGGCCAGGAAACTTTTTCAATATTCCGTATAAATTTGCATTGCATATTTCGTATTATTTCTATTAATAATCATAAAGCGCGTTTATCCTGTATATATATTTGCCGAGTGCCCGTGTTGTTTAAATCATTCCGAATTTAAACTATGCCATTTTGGCTTTAAAACATTGCGCGTTTATCGCATTTATGTTATTTTTGTTATTGTTATTTTTTTTATTTGTATTTTTCGCTCGCAGGCTGCCTTTTTAAAAAAGTCACGCGAGCAAAATCAATCAACGTTTTATGTGCGCATCGAAGTGTTTTCCAGCGAAATCATCAATTTCATTCAAAATTACAATTCATGCGCGTTTATCAAATTTTGCTAAATTAAAGCGAACAAGTTTTTATGATGGAGAAAATTGTGCAATGGCGGTGGCGGTTCGATTGGCCGGCCATATGCATCGGACATGTCCCTGCCTGTCCTTTGCCAATATCCATTCATTATTTCAAATTCAATATTGGCCATGTGCGTGAGAGCGACTGAGATATTATTGGCGAGAACGGAAGCGGGGCTATTTGACTTCGACAGACCAGTGCACGGCGCACAGGCTTGAAGTGGAGCGCGATTCATAACTATTTCAAATCGACAAAACGTCGACGCGATGTTCAGCTGCAAGCATCGCCATGTTGTCAGTGCGCTCGCCGGGAATTAAACTGGCAGCTGCAACAAAAATGGTCGCAACTTTTCTAATTATTTTAAATGGGAATTTGTGTCACACACGCGTCACGCTTATGGCGAAAATATTTTTTCGACAATTTGATTAGCGTATATCGCCAGCTAAATTTTCAGTCGAAAATCAAGCAAAAAGAAAATGCGAATATGCTCCGAGGGGGTGAGTGGGCTATTTAACTGATGAACGGTATCTGATCAGCTTAAATTGAAACAATTATGGTACATATCACTGCTAGGAACTACAAAAGTTATGGAAAAGTCACTAAAGTGAGAGTGCGAGCGGATGAAACGTTTCTCGGGCTTAGGACAACCTGGATACCATGTTTACTTATGCCAGCTCTTATACTTTCCGAGATTCTGCAGTCATTCTCGATTTATAACTATTAATAAGAAACTATTAACCTTAATTGAAATTCGAAGGAAATAGGTTGTTGTCATTCGGAAATTAAAGTATGTTCCAACTATTTTTTTTCCATTTGAGGTCGACGAACACGTATTTAATATTTTGTTTGTATGTAGGATTAGACCAGAGCTTAACATTCTAAAATATATGTAGACTCCCGACTCCCCATAAATTTCTGAATGTTCCACAAGGCTGTAATATTTTACTGTTCGATTTTTTCGTCGGTCGTCTGCACGCCCGTTTCCATATTCCGTAGTGCCTATGCTTTCGGCTCATGTCTGTGTGTGGTTGTAAAAAAGTTATATTGGTTTGCGTGACTAACAAAAGTAAAATAACAATTACAAGAAGGAGTCGCTGCCATTGGTGCCCAACAGTTGTGGGTGACCACACAACAAAATGGAAAAAGAAAACAGAAAAACCAAGCCCGCAAAACCGTACAACAAACACAAAAGCAACAACAAAATTTACAGCGAATTGTAAATTAAAGTAGGTATTGTAGTTATCTCTTAAGAGAGAGCGAGCGAGGGAGACCTCCGAGTATAGACTTAGGGAGAGAAGAAGAAGAATTTGCTTTATTTAGTATTTTTTATTTTGTTTCACGTTAGGTTTTCCCTTCGAGTTCTGCGAGCTCCAATTCCATTCATAATAGAGCTGTGCTTGAATGTGTGCATAAAAGTGAATAGTCACCATCCATGACTTCATAAAAACTCACGACTCCGCCAAACTTATTTATCTCACGATGATTGTCTGATTTGATTACAAAAAATTTAATAACAAACTTGATGTGGCGAAGGGGATTTTTTTTAATAAACAGGACAATTGTACGAATGCCAATAATTTTCCTGATTTTAAGTTATGCAAATTTTGGTCCAATCAACTTTAAGTAACTTCAAAAAGCACCGATCTTATTTTTATTTTCGCTTTACTTTGCTAAATCGATATACTACATAGCATAAGAATGAATGTGTATGTGTGTGTATTAGCTTCTGATGCGAGAAATAATTGCTGCTGGGCAACCTGTACGCAACTTTTCTAAATATTCTCTGGAATTGAGAAAAAGAAGAAAGGAATTATAGTCGAAAGGGTGCAGCCCTGTGCTTACACCCACAAGAATAGAATGTTAGAGAATAAAGCAGGCCTGACTCATACGAGTAAATAGCCCACACTCTTCTCTACTCTGTATTCCAACAAATTTTTGAAAAAACACGATTAATTCAATGACTCTACTCGTAATATAAAAAGATATATACATACAGAAAATATATAGAATATCCCATAATGTTATAAAGTGTTTTTCGTAACTCGTGTAATTCTTTGAATTTGTACTCACATTTGCCAATTTAGTCAATACTTTCATTAAGCAATATTTGATAATTCTCTTCCTTTGAGTCTATGTGTGTGTGTGTGTGTGTGTGTTCGCAGCAACAACAACAGCTACTGGCAGAGCAGGGGCACAGATTACAGTAAAGGCTCTAGTTTTCTTTAGAATTGACTTGAACAAAAAAGTATACATTTCTGGAACTTAGAAGGACCTGGGTGCCAAGTTTGTTTTTCTAGCTTTTATACTTAACATTTTATGTTCGCACTAAGCTCGTATAGTAGAAGAAATTTATTTTTCATAAATTTCATTTCAACTAAAAATAAATCCACTAGCTATGTGTATTTGAACATTGTCGACCACCACCACTTACCCTGAACCACATCGGTCTACACCTGGCTACCCGGGTCGGTCGAACTTTATGACCTTCTTCTAGTACTTTATGACCTTCTTCTAGTACTATATGTCCTTCAACCCTCTTTCTATATACGCTGTAATATACACATTACGTAGCCCGGCGGTCATGGAAAAGTTGTGATGAATATGTTTTAATACCCTGTACCAACAGGGTAAGATGCTATACTACTTAGTTTAGTGCGAATGTAAGTAACACACAGAAGCTGGCGTGGCAGACGCACCAAGTACGAGTCGATGTAGTCATGCCCGCCTGTATGAACAAAAGTGAAGTACAAGAGAATAAATTGGTACACAGGTTTCCGAAGTCCTAGGCACATTAAGTCTATGTTTTTCACTGATTTGGGTCCGATTTTAAATTGCACTTCATGAGTAGAATACTTGTATATAGTAAATATTTCTCGCAGATGCATGAACTATTCATTGCCGCAGAATCCAATATTTAATTGTACTTATATCCACCTAAAGCAAGAGTTACATCTGGATTTACTCACCGATTGACAATATTCCAGCGTCGTTTGGTCGCAGCACGTGTGTAAAGTAGATTTTCAGACCCGAATTATCCGCCATTTGTCTGGCATGCAGTTGGGAAAAGTCGGGCTTCAAATTGCTGTAATGCGTTTCCATCAAGTAATATTTGGCTTGACGCGACTCGATGGGGTACCCAGCTTCGTGGGGGTACGTGAAGCCCTGCGAATGGAGAGCAAGTGGCCAAGTTAAATGTTATGTGATTTTGCCGTACTTATAGTACGTATGTACAAGTACATCGTTATCTCCATGTATGCACGTACATAGTATGCATACATACATATATATGAGTACATATAAATATGTGTTTGTGAATGGCGACAGCAGCCGGCGGAAGTTGTGCCTGGCAATTTAAATGCACACAATGCCACGCCATTCAATTGCATTTCACAACCCCCTGGCGACCATGCAATGCCACTGCATTATGGCGTTGATGAAATTATGAAAAACATAGCGAAAGGCGGGTCCGGGAGGCAGGAGGCGGAAGGCGGGAGGCTGGCCGGATCAAGGCCGGGCCAGGCCAGGCCAGACCAGGCCATGTTGAAATGAAGCTTTTGAGAATGTTAAATGAATATTGCATGGCAACGACGACCACCGAACCACCGGACCGCCTGACTGCCTGACTGCCTCACTGCCCGACTCTCCTCCTCTCCGTCTCCCCGACTCGTTGGCTCAATTCTTGGTCTTGCACTTACCTCACTGCCGCGCGACCAGGCAGCAACAATGGCATTGCATGCCAGTGGAATCGACCGTGCGCCCATGCACTGGCGGCCCTGCTCCCGTGCCAGCTCCTCTAGCTCGGCGTGTGCGCCTTGACACTCGTGCAGCGTGATGTGCTGCAAGTAGTGTATGCTGGACGATGAATCATAAATCGGCTCATACTGCAGCATTGGTGTCGGCGTCGGAGTCGGAGTCGGATTCGGCGTCAGCATTCGCGATGACGATGCGCAAGACGGTCATGAAAAGAAAGTGGGCGAAAATAAAAACAGAGATATATATTTTAATATTTAATTTTCCAATTTGGTTATGCACAGGCTGACAAAAGTGCCATGTTATATAACATTTAATTATGCATTTTATCTAATAACTTAGAGTTGGCCTCAAACTAGTTTAACTTTGATCGATAATTCCAAAGATGTAAGTTATATGCATCCTTGCTGTTGCAGAATGTACTCGTGTGGGATGTTAACAACGAAATAAAACGATCTTAAAATTTATGTTAGTATGTGGCTTAGCTAAACCCCCTTCATAGCGCTTTGCAACCTTAAGTTACTTTGCATTTAATCAACTGGGCTACATAATAATTTTGGCAATATTCATTTTGGTTCCACTATCTTTATAAGCTAAAGATGATTTAAAAACTATTTGTAAAACCTATACCTTCTATTACAGCTATTAGACTAGAGTTTTAATCGTAATAATTTTTCAAATTAAATGATTATTAGTACCACATCCTACATGATATAGTATTCTGCTATGGCTTATCTCAAATATTAATATGTGTTTGCCCTCGAAACGGAATTTTTATACTCTGTACATGAAATGTACAAGAGTATATTAGGTTTGCGGGAGCTGAAAAATGTAACAGGCAGAAGGAGGCGTGGCAGACCCCACAAAGTATATATATTATTGATCAGCGTGACAAGACGAGTCGATCTAGCCCTGTCTGTCTGTCTGTCCGTCTGTCCGTCTGTCCGTCCGTATGAACACCTGCATCTCAGAGACTATAAGAGATAGAGACACCAAATTTTGCACGAAGATGCGTTATGTGTGTATTCTATACGAGTTTGTTTTATTTTTTTGATTTTCCCCCCCACTTCCCCCCTATGGGGGTTTTCCCGATTTTCCATTCGTATAATCGCCTATATCTCGGAGACTATAAGACCTAGGAACACCAAATTTTAGTCCCAGATGCCTTATGTGAATACGCAGAAAATGTATATTTTGGAATTCCCCTCCCTCCCCCCTCTACCCCGCAAATCGTAACTCCCGTAATTCTTGGAATTTCGAACTAAAATTTTGGAAATACCCCTAGTTGGTTATTATGTGTCCGTATGCCAAGTTTCATTATGATAGACCGATTTAACAAGAAGTTATAGCCATAAATATATTTGCTGATGCAGCGCTGCTGCAGCGCTGCCCGCGGCTGTTGTTGATGTTGCTGTTTGGTTGACTGCGAAAATGCTTACACAGACACGAATAGATGCGCATAGGCATACATACACTCACACAGACGCAATTGCTATGTAAATGTGCAATTATACACCCTTTACGTGAGTTCGAATACCGAGAGAGGTAAAATCGATCAAATTTTTTTTTTTATTTTCTTAATTTTTTTATTTTCTATAATTATTGTAAGCATATGTACAGAGTATTTCAAAGTCGGGACACCCGACTTTAGCTTTTTTACTTGTTTTGTATTACTTGTATTCTCGCCATGCTCATCATTAATCATAACATGTGGTCTACCATTTTTCCCTAACACTACGAATAATTTATAATAATTTCTGTGTGTGAGATACTACATGGGGTCATCTGAGCTCATTAAGGTAGGACTTTACCGATATAGTCCTTTTGCTTTGTCAGTCCGATGAATTGAAAATATTGAAGAGCATCTACTCAGCACAGCTGCATAGTCTATACATAGTAGAAGAATCAATGAAGTGATTGCTTTATTATTCCAAATTCTGATTGTGATTCCAGATAGATATAAACTAAGAATTTCGCTATCAAACCCTCTTTATACCCTGTACCCAAAGGGTGAAAGGGTATACTAGGTTTGTATGAATGTATGACCCCAGAAAGTATATACATACTTGTATATTCTTCATCAGGGTGACAAGTCGAGTCGATGTAGAATGTCCGTCTGTCCGTAATAATAACTTAATATAGTTTTTTTTTTTATGGAGGGGTGCTGTATTTTAAAGGATCGGGCAGCATGTTTCTACTATTCAATTGTTGTTATATCATGTGAGTAAGTAAGTTATCTACGTTGTAATAAAGTACCTTGTTATCAGAATGGATAAGAATTGCAATGTTGACTGCAACTGCGAACTGATACACCGTGCATTGATCTGGGAGGTCGAAGAGTCTTATCCCCAGGTATGGGAAGTTCTTACTCTCGCCTTACTTCTTTCACATTTGTCTTAGTACATCGCCTACAATGATTTTAAATTATATCACACCATGATGACCTACACTCTGAGCTCAACGCCACAATTAACCTGAGGTTCGAAAGTCTTGAATATATTTGCACCTTCCGCTTTCCTTTTCCATTTCCCCTACCTTTTGACCTGCCCTCGCGTATACTCGTATGCATAAATTTATGACCCAATTAATATGGCTGCTGAAAAACCAACAATTTTCAACCGCAGGCCACCATAAGATGCGAAAATTTTTATCAAATGTGAATTGCATGTATTTTTAGTCGACTCAAGATTGGATTTCATAATCGCACACACACACACACACACACACACACACACACACACGCACACACTTACATCCTCACTAGATGCACACTCCATTGCACTTTCTGTGTGCTACCGTGCAGTGAAAATAGCCTCACATCATATGTTTATACTTTTAGTTGTCTTTACCTATAAAATGGTGGCTGTGAAAAACCAAACAGAGCAACAAAAATAAAAACATTTTCAAACTCGCACACATATTTACCTATGCATATTTGCATGTATGTAGGAGTATGTGTAAAATTTACAAGATATTTAATTTTGCCAAGAATTTGTTCGTGGTCGCTGTGTGTTTGCCGAACTCTGCTGAAATGTTCAAATTTTGCAGCTTATTATTTTTAAATGTTGCCATAATTTTTCATTTTCCACGTAAGTAAGTAAGTAAGTTAAACTATTATTTATTATTATTTAGTAAATATAATTTGCAAGCAAAAGTTAGTATCGCTTACCCGTATAAGATGATGTTTGCGATTGATGTCCTCCAGCTTAAACATTTTACACCAAAAGAGAGGCGCATCTCCGGCGGGTAGCTCAACATCCTCGTTGCGCAGCTCCAGCACCCGAACACGTTCGTCGTGCGCGGGAAGCTGCAACTGGGCGCGTTGCATCAGGACCATTGGGCGATAAGGACGAAAGGCGCGCTCAGGGTCCGGTAGCATGCCAGGCCGCACAGATCCGTGCGGTGGGTCCTGTGCGTGATACATGTACAACAAACGCATAGTGTCATTCTGGAAAAAGTCAACAAATTAGTTAAATAGAAGTTTAGATATATTCCATTCTTATACTATACATATATCCTACTGCAAACCTACTAAGTATGCCATTTTTCATGAAACAGTATTCTCAATATGCAAAAAGAGCTGGAGCTTCTAAATGTTGCAAACAGATACCATATGGGCACTCCTCACTCTCCAGTTGTTAGTGACATTACATAGCTCCATTCGTATAAACCCCTAGATCTCAGGGGCTATACGATTTAGACAGGAAATTTGCGCACAATTTGCATGCCTTATATGCATGCAAGTGTATTCGTATTTTTGTTCATATCCTGTACCCAAAGGGTAAAAGGGTATATTTCTTTTGTACAAAAGTACCATGTAACACACATGTATATGTATGAGTATAGTTGAGTAATAACAAGAAAGGAATGCAAGAGTAGAGCGGGATCAACTCTTAATTACGCAGAGCATGGGCAGAGATTACATTTATGGCTATAACTTTCGTCATACTCGACCTTTTTATATGAAACTTGACTTACCGAAATTCCAAGAATCACGGAAATTATAAACAAGAGGGAACGCTACGGTCGAGCAAGCCTGACAGTGAAATACCCTGTACCCAGGTAAACTTCCGACACTGAAGTATATGCGCCTTTAGCAGAACCCAAAGGAAGAAGAAGAGCGAACTAATAACTTTTATTAGAGTTATCGATTTAGATTAAATTTAAAACAAAAGTAGATTATTATTTTGTATAAATTATGTGTGCGAAGTTTGGTTAAGATGGCTTTTGAAATGTGGACGGTATTGACAAAATTCTGTAGCGGAGGAAGGGGGGGGGAAATTAAAAAAAATAAAAAAAAAACTCGTCTGTAAAGGCATTTCACTTACTTTTAAGATTATCTAAGAGAATTATAATTGAAGGCAACGCTTTAGTTAAGAGAAAGTTGTCGTACACTGCAGCTGCCTGCGAGCAGCATAATTGCAATTGCCGCTCTTATGTCATAACGTCATAAACGTTTTGTGAACCCTTTGCTTTTGCCATACCGGCAAGTTACCGGCTTAAAGCCGTACATCGTCCTTTCTCGGACTTAGGAGAATCTGGATACCAACTTTGGTTATTCCAGACAGACGGACGGACGGACATGTCTAGATCGATTTCTCTCGTCACGCTGATTCAGAATATATATACTTTATGGGGTCGCAGATGCTTTCTTCTGCATGTTACATACTTAGCACAAACCTAATATGCCCTTTTTACCCTACGGGAGTGGAGCGGTGCATCAAAAAATGGCGCTTTCTCGGGCTTAGGAGAATCTAGATTCCTAGTTTGGTTATTCTAGCTCTTATACTTTCTGAGATCCTTGCGTTCATACACACGGACAGACGGACGGACGGACGGACATGGCTATATCGACTCGTCTTGTCATACTGATCCAGAATATATATATGACGAAAGTTATAGCCATAAATGTAATCTCTGCCCATGCTCTGCGTAATTAAGAGTTGATCCCGCTCTACTCTTGCATTCCTTTCTTGTTATTACTCAACTATACTCATACATATACATAATCCCGATGTTCATGTGTGCTTTTGTAACTGAATTTAAACATGTGTCTCTACATGCGAGTATGTGTAGAATATTTCTGATTTTATCCAACTAATTCAATTTTAAAATATTTAACAATTTTTAAATAATTTTTTTTGCATGAAGGGTATTGAAGAGTTGGGCCTGCTCGACTCCAGCATTGCATTCTTGTTGTTGTTTGCTGTTTGGTTAACTCTCTTTTGGCCCAGAGCACCAGACTGGCCAATTCTTTTGTATTTTATGTGTGGTTTGTATGTATTTTTCAGTTGCCACGTAGTTTTAATTGGTGAACACAAATTAAAGCTTTCATTAAAGAATCACAACACGCGCAGTGCCCGGCCCGGCAAAGCAGCTGCAACAGCCGAACCAATTGGTCGCCCATCCTTCCAACTCCTGTGTGTTTGTACGCCTCGGGGGCTTTTGAAGCCAACAGTCAGCTGTCATTGTGTGCTTGTCATCTGCACTTGTAGGTAAGTATATGTGCGTGTATGTATGGGTGTTTGGGTATATGGGTGTACGAGTAAAACAACACAACAATAACATCACATGTAGACATAGAGGGCGCAAAAAAGCAGCAACATTTGAATTCATTGTGGCAAAGTGGCCATTGTAGCTGTTAAGTGGAACTGTAGAGTACCATGTTCGACAATTGACGGCGCAGAGCAACGGGCGACAAGTCCTTGTCTACTTGTTCATTTTTGCAGAGGAGACAATACTTTAATTAACAATTCCCTTTCCTGTCCAGCACGGCCGGTTGCAATGTTGCCCGGTTATCCTGTCAGACGAACTGACTGGACCAAATGACTGAAGAAAAAATATCCCGTACAAATGAATCGGCTGGCCGGTCAGTCGACTGACAAACATTGCGGGGTGCAAACGCGCAAACCGCCTGGCCATTGCCAACAGGAACAAAACTAACCGGCAGCAACGTTGGCTAGTATTAAATATTTGCCGTGCGACAGGGGCACGAGAGTCATTAACGTGTATGACCACAGCGCGCAGTCAGGACCTTTACAGGAGGCGATGGACGGCAATGGCAGAGGCTGCAGTTAAATTAAAAATAAAATTTTAGCACGGCTCCCAAATACTCTATAGCTATTTCCAAAAACCCATCTCAGAAGCTACCCCTAACTATGCTTTCCAACTTTCTTTTCTGCTTTCTTTTTTCTGGGTGTTAGACACTTTTCACGTAGTAAGTAAAACGGTGAAATACTCTGTACCTAAAAACTGCAGAAGAAAAAGAAGAAGAACTAAGCCGCCCTTCCTCCTAACCGAGTATAATTGGCCAAAACTAATTTATAATTCGTAAGCTAGTGTTCTTTGGTAGGATATTAAAAGTACTACATAAATATATAGTATTTAAGTATACTATGTATTAATCGGGATCAAGGGCGTAGGCAGGGAGGGGCAAGGGCGGCCATTGCCCCCCCATAAAAATGTTTAGCAATATGAACAATTCATAACAATTCAATATTGGATTATAGGATTTGTTGAAATTTTTCTATTGATCATAACCATAAGTTATTTATTTATTAATTTAATTTAATCAAAACTGTGAAGGGGGAAGTGCGAAGGGGGACCCGTCGTCAAAAAAGCCACAACTTTTATTTCGGCTGAAAAAGTAATAATTATTGGGGATAGTCGTGGTGTTATACTCGTATATACGGATTATCCAGAGAAAGAAAATTTGGCTATACGTATCGCTTTTCGCAAAGCTTATGAGCTGTGAACTATTTTCTCCCTCCTTGCTCTTCAGACCCTAGTGATTTCTTTTTACTCCCTATCCTTAAGGTTGAGCTTAGGGAATACCAATTTCATTAAATGAGGAGTTTATTACTTTGTCTTTCTATTTCTATGCTTTCTATTTCTTTTATTTGTGTTGAAGAGGTGGGAGCATCGCTAGGCGAAGTGTGTTGACTTAGACGAAAATAATGTTGGAAAATATAATAAACATTTTTTGTAGAAACATTTCGCGCTGTGCGGAACGTCGGAAATAGTGTTTTTGCTGGGAATTAGAGTGTACATATCCAAGTTTGGTTACTGCGGTTCGAACTATTTCCGAAATCAAAGCATTGCAATACAATGTTCCAGACGAACTGGCTGACGAGCAGGTCTACATCCAAATGCTTCATAATGTCTATTATATACTTGCATACTTTCACAAACTTAAGATACCCGTTTACACTTCACATACTTGTACAGTGTATACAAGTGTGGGCGCGACGTCCGTGTCCTTAAAATGTAGAACAAAGTGTGAAAAGGCGTAAGCCAAACTATCAAGCTCATCTCAATAACAAAAACAAGAGAGAAATACTAGAGTCGAGTGAGCTGAACTTTTAAATACCCTGTACCCACTACCACAAAAACATAAAAACATTTTTATTTAATAATACTTTTTTCTTTTCTTGGGCTAAGGAGAATCTGGATACCAAGTTTGGTTGTTCTAGCTCTTATACTTTCTGAGAAGCCTACGTTCATACAAACAGACGGACGGATGGACAGACAAACATTTCAAAGTATATATCAGGTGGCTATGTGCGTGTATACTATATACCTACCTATCCGGATTGAATTGTAAAAGTTGACTAAAATAATTAAGAATTATAGTAGTTATGGAAAACCATAAAAATCATATCATGTAGTTCCTATTGCATTCGTTTTTTTTTTTTAAACATAATCATACAACAATCGATCCCGTTTTGAAATTTTGTTATTTTCTGCATCCTAGCTCTTAACATTTGGACTCGGTTAGACAGCTTTAGACAACATGGCAGTCTGATTTGTATTCAACCTCACTAGTTAGTTATAGCAAGAGGATATTGTCCGATGTGGTTCCGGTTCAGCTCAGGACCAAGAAAACACATAGTGGCGAAGCAAGACTGTAATAATTTGGAATAATTGTAAGCATTGCTGCAGACTTTATTCTGCACAAATATCAAAATCCGAAATTTTGTGAGTTTCATGCTTGTGTCGCTACCTCATGAGGAGGTTTTTAGATTGATAGACGTATAGTGCTTATTCCATTACTCGGACTTGGCCATTAAACTTTGCAAGTTGGTATGCTGCTATGTACAAGTATGTACATACTCGTTTCTATGTATGTATGTACTTTTATGTGCTGTGTTGTGTTGTTGATGTTGTTTTTGCCGCTTTGTTGTCCAACTTCGCCCCTGATGCTTGTTGCCGTTCAACGCGTTTTAATAATGGCCAATTGTTCCAAAAGCAAGTGCACGCTACTTGGCACTAATGGCAATAGTCCTGGTAATGGCAGCGGTTAAGTTGCTTTGGCTCGCTGCTGACCAGAAGCCTGGGGAGTCCGAACGAGCTCGAGCTCGACTACTTTTCCGACCATATGCTTAAGTGTGGCGAGCCGAAACTTGGTCTGTGGGCAAGAGCACATATACTCGGCTTGTAAAATGCGCA